AGCTGGGGTGAGCTGAGCTGGGGTGAGCTGAGCTGGGGTGAGCTGAGCTGAGCTGGGGTGAGCTAAGCTGGGGTGAGCTGAGCTGGGGTGAGCTGAGCTGGGGTGAGTTGAGCTGAGCTGGGGTGAGCTAAGCTGGGGTGAGCTGAGCTGAGCTGAGCTGGGGTGAACTGAGCTGGGGTGAGCTGGACTGAGCTGGGATAAGCTAGACTGAAATGAGCTGAGCAGAGCTGGATGAATCTAGACTGGGCTGAACTGGGCTGTCTGGGCTATGCTGGAATGAGCTGAGCTGGGCTGGGCCTGGATAAACTAAGCTGGTATGATCCAGGTTGGACTGGATGAGGTAGGCTGGAATGGTCAGGTGAGCTGAGCTGGGGTGAGCTGAGCTGGGGTGAATTGAGCTGAGCTGAGCTGAGCTGAGCTGGGGTGAGGTGAGCTGGGGTGAGCTGAGCTGGGGTGAGCTGAGCTGGGGTGAGCTGAGCTGGGGTGAGCTGAGCTGGGGTGAGCTGAGCTGGGGTGAGCTGAGCTGGGCTGGGGTGAGCTGAGCTGAGCTGGGGTGAATTGAGCTGAGCTGAGCTGAGCTGAGCTGAGCTGGGGTGAGCTGGGCTGGGTTGAGCTGGATTGAGCTGGGATAAGCTAGACTGAAATGAGCTGAGCAGAGCTGGACGAATCTAGACTGGGCTGAACTGGGCTGTCTAGGCTATGCTGGAATGAGCTGAGCTGGGCTGGGCCAGGATAAACTAAACTGGTATGATCCAGGTTGGACTGGATGAGGTAGGCTGGAATGGTCAGGTGAGCTGAGCTGAGCTGGGTACACTTGGCTAGGCTGGAATGGATTGAGATGAGTTAGGCTAAAGTCAGCTAGGCTGAACTGACTGAGCTAGACTAGAATGGGCTAGCTGAGATGGTCTGGGCCAGCATAAACTGAGCTAGGCTAGGCTAGTTGGACTGGCTAGGCTGGATGTAGCTAAACTAATCTAGACTGGGCTGGGCTGAACAAGACTGAGTTTACCTAGGCTAGGCTGATATAGCCCGGGTTGCATGGAGCTAAGTTTCATTAGGTAGTCTTAGCTGGGCTGAGCTAGGTTAGGTGTGCTGTCTGAGCTGGCCTAAGGTGGGCTGAGTTGAGATGAACTGAACTAGGCCTGGATGGACTTGCTGAACTGAACTGAGCTGGGCTGGGTTGGGCTGGGGTGAGCTGAGTTAGGCTGAGCTGGGCTAAACTGGTCTGAGTTAGGCTGGCATGGATTGGATGATCTTGCTGGCCTAGGATAAACTGAGCTGTGCTAGGATGGGATGAGACAGGCTGAGCTGGGCTGAACTGAGTTGGTCTTGTTGGGTTGATCTTGATAAACTGGGTTTATCTGGGTTCAGTTGACCTTGCTTAGGGTGAGTTGGTCTAGATGATCTAGCTGTGCCTGCCAGAAAGGGCAGAGCTAGGATGAGATCAGGCTAAACTGTGCTTGGCTGGGTAAGATGAGCTAATATAAGTTAGGCTGCTGAGCTGGGCTGAGTTGGGTTGAGCTGAACTGGTTTGGGTTGGGTTGAGCTGAGCTGAGCTAAGTTAGGCTGGCTGGGCTTGTTCACAGTTCTAGTCTAAGCTTTGCTGGGTTGTTCAGCTCAGTGCTGAGGTAATTCAAACACTTTGGACTAAATGTAGACCACCCTTTGTTTCATGAGTGGAGCTTGCTCTGTTTGTTTTACATGAATGGGGGCAACTCAGTATTCATTTCTCGTGTCCTCTTCTCCTTCCCCTATTGCCTGGTGGAAATTCAAACATACCTGTAGGGAGCGCCTACACAGCTGAGGCAGTGCTCAGATTTAGGTGTCTGGTCTTGAGAGTCTACTGCTTGTTAGGTGGATGGGTAGGGTGGTAGAGTGGTGAGTGACAGGTCCGAAGCCCTGACCAGGCAAGTGTGAGGTGAAAATACAAACAAAATGGCCTCCTCCTCCCCAGGGGACCTTTAAGCCAGCTGCTCTCTGGCCACTCCTACCCTGTGGGGCTGAGCTACAATCTCCAGTTATCCATCCATGCCCAGGCCCACCAGTTATGATCCTCCAAACGCTGGGATTGAGAGCCTGGCTGTGACCACTGCCCAAACAGGAGTGAGCTCAGAAATCTGGAGCACTGGGTTGCTCAGTAGCGTAATCGCGTTTATAAAGGCACTTGTAGTATGTACAAAGTCCTGCTCGAGGCATTTGGCCCCGTCCTTGCAAAAGACTGCCTGGAGGTCATGTTCTGAATCTCTGAAGCCAGATCTGCTCCAACTTCAGGCACATGACACAGCAGCTATGTGATACTGGGCTGGGTTCTCCAGTGTAAAGAAGAGAAAGGCATAGCCCTTTCCCCAGAAACTGTCTCAAGATGGACAGTGTGAAGACTACTGTCTCACTCATGTTCTATGTTCCAGAGTCCCCGAGAAGTCCCACCATCTACCCACTGAGCCTCCCACGGTCTATGTCAAAGGACCCAGTGGTGGTTGGCTGTCTGATAAAGGATTACTTCCCATCTGGAACTATGAAAGTGTCCTGGAGCAAGAGTGGAGCGGATGTGACAACCATAAACTTCCCACCTGCCCAGACCTCTGGGGGCCCATTCACCATGAGCAGCCAGTTGACACTGCCAGCTTCCCAGTGCCCAGCTGAAGAAAATGTGACATGCTCCGTGCAACAGAACTCTAACCCCGCCAAAGATGTGGATGTGCCCTGCTTAATAGATGGTGAGAGAGTCATCTGCGGGTGGGCTAAGTCCTACCCTAACCTGGTATCTGGACCCATGTCCCCCCATCAGGGAACCTTGGAAGCCTCTAGAGCAGCTTTTCTGGCCAGTCCATGGAGGGGGACAGATAGACCAGGGGGAGCTGGGGCCCAAGGATGCCCAGAGAAGGGGACAGGGAAACAGAAAGGAATGTGCTGACTTTCTAGGACTTCCGTTTCAGATGTTTCAGATCGTGTTCCAGGTCCTTGTCCCATAGACTGCCAACCTCGCCTGTCCCTGCGCCGGCCAGCTCTTGAGGACCTGCTCCTGGGCAAAGATGCCAGCCTCACGTGTACACTAAGTGGCCTGAAAAAACCCGAGGGAACCACTTTCACCTGGAAGCCTACCACTGGGAAGGATGCAGTGACCAACGCACCTGTGCCAGACTCCTGCGGCTGCTACAGTGTATCTAGTGTCCTGCCTGGCTGTGCTGAGCGCTGGAATAAGGGGGAGACCTTCACATGCACAGTTCACCACGCTGAGTCTGAGACCCTAACTGCCACAATTGCCAAAGAGACAGGTGGGCCTAGATGCACCCCAGGACACTGAATGAAATTCCATGCTTACATGCCTGCCTCATCCCTCTAACACATATGCTCAACTGCTCCCACCCGTGTGTCACAGAGGGAAACTGAGGCTATCTGAGGGACTGCCCAGAAGGGAAGGGCAGGGGGGTCCATTGATCTCCTTCTCTGAGCCATCTCTTCTCTCTACCTTCCAGGGAACGCCCTCCCACCCCAGGTCCACCTGCTGCCGCCGCCGTCGGAGGAGCTGGCCCTGAATGAGCTGGTGTCCCTGACATGCCTAGTACGAGGATTCAACCCTAAAGATGTGCTGGTGCGTTGGCTGCATGGAAACAAGGAGCTGTCCAGTGGCGACTACCTAGTGTGGGAACCCCTGAAGGAGCCAGGCGAGGGTGCCACCACCTATGCGGTGACAAGCGTGCTGCGTGTGTCAGCCGAAGCCTGGAAACAGGGTGACAATTACTCCTGCATGGTTGGCCACGAGGCTTTGCCCCTGAGCTTCACCCAGAAGACCATCGATCGTCTGTCGGGTAAACCCACCCAAGTCAACGTGTCTGTGATCATGTCAGAGGGAGATGGTGTCTGCTACTGAGCCACCCTGCCTGCCCTTATTCCTTAAATAAACTCTGTGCTCATCCAAAGTATCCCTGCACTTCCATCCAGTGCCTGTCCCTCATACCATCCTTAGGGTCTATAGAACACTGGGGAGGGTCAGGGCCCAGGGAGAGAGGCTCAGGGCCCACCTGAGCCTCTGTGGCCTCAGAGACTTTGAAGACCCTTTACGCCTCAGTGTATGTGTATGCGTGTGCCTGTGTCAGTGAGTGTTTATGGATGTGTTTCCATGTGCCTTTGTGTGTGTGCCTGTGTGTGACAAGGGGGGAGTGAGCGTGTGTGGGCCTACGAGTATATAGTACATATACGGCTATGAGTGAATATGTGTGTGCGTATAAGTGTTAGCATACCTGTGTCCCTGTGAGCACATGTGTGCCTGTGTATACCTATGAGTGTACATGTGTCTGTCTGTATATGCTCATATTAGTGGAAATGTATGTGTGTGCCTGTGAGTGTGTGTGCCTGCCCTGTGACTGTGCAGTGAATTGGAGGAAAGGATAAGCTGGGGATGAAATCTGAGATGAGCAGACTCAGCCAAGACAGGAAGAGCTCAGGGGAGAGTCCCAAGGGCAGTGGTTTGCCACAGAAGACTCTGAAGGGTGGGTGGCGTGGCTGTTTGTGCATTGGATTGCAGCTTCTGGCTCTAGCAAGAAAAGGGTAGACAGGCAAGAGAGTACAAGATCAAGGCTGGTACCATCCGGGGGTCAGAGTAGGTGATGATGAAGGAACCAAGGGCTGAACTCAAGGGGCACTTTGAAAAAGATGATGCCAACCCCCACCCTCAGTGGGACAGCCCTGAATGGGGACATGTATAGCAGGGCAATTGCTGACTCATATGGGAAACAGATATGATATGGACACAGACAGCCCCAGCAGCACTCTACTCTGTACACGTGTACATGGGCATACACGTGTGTGTGCGCGCGCACGCGCGCGCGCGCGCGCGCGCACACACACACACACACACACACACACACACACTTACATTTGTACACTCACACAGACCTAAACCCTTCAGGAGGAGGAAGTTCACACCCCACACCCAGCTTCTGGAAAGCAAGGGGAGTCCCCTCCCAATCCCCCAGTAGAATTCCCGGGCCCAATCCTGAGAACTACATACAACTCATGGACAAGGCCATAGGGCTCCTCCCAGGTGACCCCTGCACCCAACCTGCCCTTTCTAACTTAAATCTCCCTTCCCACCCTGAGCCCAAGTATATCAAGCCACAAACAGGGTAGGGGCAAATCTGGGGAGGAGGTAGGAGCAAGCCATAGAGACCTCTCCCTTCTACATGCCCCCTCCCCAGAACACAGAGTTCTACAACCAGGTATACTTGGCACCAGGATGCCCACAAGAGGGCAGTGGGGCCCCTGCTCCTGTCTCACAGGCCTTCAGAACATCTCCAGGGAGCAAATTCCTAACAACTTCCCTCTGCTCTCAGAGCTGCAGTGGAGTAAAGGCCCATACACACCCTCAACACTCTCCCCCTTGAGAGTCTAGTTCTCTGAGAATTGCAAGAACAGCAGACCAACCTGGGAAACCTAAGCCAGAAAAGTACTCCAGCCAAGCCCTGCCCTGTAACAGGGGATTCTAGAAAGGAACCAATAGGTGAAGGGCTGAACCCACAAAGGGGAACAGGCAGAAAAGCACAAGGATCACAATGAGTAGATGGTCAGAAGAGAGGATGGGTGGGAGGGTGAATGGATGGAATGATGGAAGGACGGACGGATAAGTAGAATGACAGAAAGATGAGTGGTTGTCCATATCAGCGTGTGGCAAACAGTTCCCACTTCCACTTAATATGAAAGTTCTGTGCACTGGGACCCTGAAGGCAGCATGGTCATCTGAGCTGGAGGCCTTTACCTGCCTATTGGCACCACCACCCCCACCCCACCCCCGCACGCTCGCGCTTAAGTCACAATTCTTAATAATGCAACAGAGTCCTCTGGTCACATGTTCAGCCTTTGGTATGTCAACCTCAGGTCCAGAAATTGTGTTGCCGAGTATCTTTTTGATGGTGTCCCATCTTGTCCAGCCCCAGTACCCAGACCATCTTCAGTCTAAGAACTGGGGCCTAGTGAGAGATTGCTAAGTATCTAGATAGAACTAAGACCCAAGTGGCCTTGGGTTCAAATTCTTCTTGAAGCCACAAAGACAGCAATGACCCTCTTGGCAGGTCAGTTCTCTAATTACAGTCCCCTGAGAGAAATGGGTCTTTGGGGCATCGCAAGAACAGCAAAGATTCCAGCCCCTAACCAGGGACTCTGCCTCCTCATCCTCCCTGAGTAAATCTCTGCCCAGAGATAAGGAATTCCCACCATCACATCCCCAAAGCACGAGGCATGGAAAGGGAAGCCTTAGGCCTGGGGATGCATTCCCATGGGTGTGGGTCTAAAAGGTCATCTATGTCTTACAGAATGTCAAGAGCCATTTCCTTGTGTGATACTGGACCAGTCCCAGGACACGCTGGAGGAAGAGATGCCGGGTGCCAGCCTGTGGCCCACCACAGTGACCTTTCTCACCCTTTTCCTGCTTAGCCTGTTCTACAGCACAGCACTCACCGCCACAACTGTGCGGGGCCCATTTGGCAGCAAAGAGATTCCCCAATACTGACCAGAAGCCAGCCACAGGTGGAAGTCATGGAGATGATGGGTTGTGGGGTGGGGGTCTGGGGGTACATTCAGGATATAACTGTCCCCTCCACATGTGGCCTTTAACCCTTCACAGACATTAAGGAAAAGGGGGAAAAAGATGACAGCACTCCCTGGATTTAACCTAAACTTCAACAAGTCAGTGCTGGGACTGTGGCAAAAGTGAAGACACAATCCAACTCTGGGATGACACAGTCCAACTCTGGGATGACACAGTCCAATTCTGGGATGACACAGTCCAACTCTGGGATGACACAGTCCAATTCTGGGATGACACAGTCCAACTCTGGGATGACACAGTCCAACTGTGGGATGACACAGTCCAATTCTGGGATGACACAGTCCAACTCTGGGATGACATGGCCCAATGCCAAGATGACATAGCCCAATGCCAGAATGACATAGTCCAACTCCAGGATCTCCTCTGGCTGATCACTCTTGTCTTTGCAGGGATGAAGTGTAGAGAAGGTACCCAGGATGACGCAGTCCAATTCTGGGATGACACAGTCCAACTCTGGGATAACATGGCCCAATGCCAAGATGACATAGCCCAATGCCAGAATGACATAGTCCAACTCCAGGATCTCCTCTGGCTGATCACTCTTGTCTTTGCAGGGATGAAGTGTAGAGAAGGTACCCTTCATTTCAGAGCTAAGACCTATGTGACAACTGCCCACCCCCATTTACACATTTTCCTAAGCAATAAACTGATGCAAAAGTACAATTTCTTGCTCTCAAAGACAAAAATTAATAAAGGATGGGAGATGGTCAGGGAATGTATGGTGATACCCAGACTAGGGTATGCTTACATCATAGAATGTGGGGGTGTTGGGGAGGGTAGACACAGGGTGCCCATGGGTCTAGTGTCTGAGACATACCTTGGACATATGTGTGGCTCAAACCAAGTGCTTAACCCTGGCTTCGTCAAGGGGGTCCTATTTGTAGCCTCTTCAGATCTGATACCAGATCATTGTTGGGTCTGATTTCTAAACACTTGGCCATGGTACTTTTCACCAGGTATGAACACTGAACACCAAACCCTGGTCCTGGTTGCAAACTCTGATCACTAAACCCTGATTTTGGTAACTGAACCCTGGTCCTGATCAATAACCTCCAGCCATGATCATGACCCCTGAACACTGATTGCTTGTCCTAATCCCTCATTCTAATCACTGGTCCCTGGTCCTGATCAATGACTCTTGGTCCTGATCCTGATCCCTGGTCCAGATCACTGAATCCTACTCTTAATCACTGGGTCTGGTCCTCATCACTGAGTCCCGTTATTGGCCACTGATCACTAGTCTTGATCATTAGTAACTAATCTGATCACTGGTCTCTGTTCCTAATCACTGGCCATTGACACTGGACACTGGGTCCTGTGCTGATCACTAATCCCTAAGCCAGGTCAATGAGATCCTGTTCCTAAACAGTGCTCATGGATTTCTATCACCAGATCTAGTCCTGATCACTGGGTCTTAGTCCCGGTAACTGGTTCCTGATCCTCATCACTGGACCCTGAAACTCATCACTCAGCCCTGGTCCTCATCATTCAGCACTGGTTTTCATTACAGACCTCATCACTGAGCCCTGGTCCTCATCAATGAGCTCTGGTCCTCATCACTGACTCTAGGTTATCATCTCTGACCAATAGTTAATCATCACTGAGATCCTGTCCTGAGCAGTATCCTCGGATCCTGATCGCCAGGGTGAGGATTAGAAAACTTCACCCTGATTCTGATCACTGGTTTCTGGTTCTGGTCACTGAGTCATGTTCCTGGTTCTGGACATTGGAAACTAGAAAACATCACTAAGCTCTGGTCCTGTACACTGTCTCTTGATATTGACCTTTGAGAACTGACTTAGGCAGGTGGCACTGACATCTAATACTGATTATAGCCCCAATTTCTGCTTAGAGACACCAGTCCTGAACCCCAGGCTCATCTCACAAACATTACTCCGAGGCCCAAGGATACAGTGACATTGAACAAGAGGACCTTTTTCCATCTTAAGCCCCATACTCATTAGGAAGAGCCCTTCAGGGTCAAGGGAAGATTCCAGAGTCCCTCAACACTGTCCATACACTGGGCTGCCAGTGAGAGACAGTGACCCTGCTCATCTGCCTTTCCCAGAATCAGAGGGAGTGGATGGAAACAAAACAAGCCCAGGCCAGATGAGCTGTAACCTCTGGTCTGGGGTCTGGAGATCTGGGGTCAGCACTGTAGAGGAGGTTTGCAGTCCCGGTGTGGGGGAGGGCAGGGAGGATCATGTTTGTAACCCTTGTTTTTCTTTCTTCTGAAGTCTCTGTTGTCTATCACCTGCTGAAACACTCAAAATAGCTCAGAGAACTGAGGGTAGCTGAGTCATCATGAGCCCAGCTCAGCCCAGGTGCCCCAAACCAGAACTACTGTTCTGAGAATCACACTGTACACTAGACCTGGCCAGGTGGCCCTGGGGCCTGGATGAGGACTTAGAGCCAAGGGAGCCCTGCCAGGGACTGAGGAGGCCCAGCCCCCATCACTCAAGACCTGACAGGGTCATCCACAGTTAGGCCTTAGCGAGGCCATGTTGTGCCAGGATGAGAACAAGCCAAGTTAAGATCAGTTATAGTCTTCCCAGGATCACACAGAGTCAAGCAGTGTCAGCTAAGGTCGACCAAGACTAGCCAGAGGTCAGCCAGAATCACCCCAGGCCACACAGACTCTTCTGACAGACAACTAGGGTGAGCAGCCAGATGACCAGGGCCCTGGTGATACAGAGGGAAAGTGCGCATCCCTGCCAGGCAGGCAGCTCCCTCACTGCATGTGGGCTCCCTGAATGTTTCCAGACTGCAGTTGGTTATAGACGATGGGGTCAGTGCCCTGGACTCAGGCTAACAATGCAGAAGGCTGCGTGGAATGACAAGAAATTGTCTGTGAGACTAGATAACCAATTCGGCTACAAGTCTGCCAGAGACCCCAGTGTAGACACTTTGTGGGGTCAACCTGTAGGATGAAAGCTGAACTGAGTCTTGGGGTCGAGTCAAGAACAGAAGCAATCTGCCAGACCCTGGAGGCCATGCAGGCAAAGCACAGGGTGAAGTCCAGACAGACTAATGAATAGACAGATGTGGTACAACGAACCATGTAAACAGCGGAGACCAAGCCAAAAGGAAGCCTATAGGACACTGTGGGGTTCTCTGCATCTGGATCTCTTGATGTATAGACCAGGGGATCAAGTGACAGAGTGGTGGGGCCATTGCCATCACAGTGTTAGGTGTCCTCATCCTCATGGTCATTGTCATCACAGTGTTAGGTGTCTTTCTCTTCATGGCCATTGTCATCACAGTGTTGGGTGTCCTCACCTTCATGGGATTCAGGTGAGGGTGTGGCACATTTTACAGAGGATGTTTATGGGAAGTTCTCAGGACTGGATTTCAAGACATAATTTTATTGATCTCATGTGTCCCACAGTCTCAACTCTCTTTGGTAAATTTATAGGGTGACACCTTATTTAGGGATAAACTATGTGTCAGTCTGTGCCTTATGAAAGGTGCTGGGCAGGTGGTGTTATTACATACCCACCAAGGTGTGCTGTCATCCTCCACTTTCAAAATGGAGTCAAAAGCCATTTGTAAAATGAAATTTTCTCAGGGTAAAGTACAATAAAAAGGGCACTATTTCACACAGTATGGAGAAACTTAGAGGAAGGCATGGTTGATATCAACACAAAGACAATGTAAGACACCAGGAAGGGGACCGGGGACAAAGAAGTCCAGAAAGAATGGCATAGTACAGAGACACTCAGATGGAGATGAGACACAACAAGAAAGAAAAGACACAGCGACTAGCAAGAAAAGACATGAGGACGGGAAGAGAAAGAGAGACGGATGCAGACGAGAGAGACACACAAGGAGGGGAGAGGTAAGAAGAGACAAAGAAGCAAAGACAGGACAGGCAGAGGCACAGCACTGGGGACACCAAGCACTCAGATGAAGGCGCTGGCACACACACTCTCAGTGAAGGCCATGCACCCACAGAGCCATGGGTGAGCACTCCTCAGTCACATACCCAACACTCACCCCCTGTCCATGCAGACACAGACAGCACCTGCCCACTCCCTCCCCTCCAGGCCTGTGTGCTCAGTGAGCCACACTGAGGGACACTCAGACTGGACATTTCCCAAGGGACCTAGTGAGCAACATGAACTCAGGGTCCATAGCCTACATCACTTGCTGGCCCTGCACCCCATGTCATGCTTAGGATCAACTGAAGCCGGGAACATACACTGAGTCAGGGAGTTCTAAGGGATGGGCTCCTATCAGGATTTGTCCAGATGAGCCCCAAACACAAGGAGTGGGCAACATCAGCTCACAGGGGAGCTTTACCTGGCCAGACCTGATCAGAGCACAGGGAAATGGTGGCTGAGGGACTTTCCTCCTGTGGGGCCTGACCTTGCTTCTCTACCCAAGGTCACAGGTACCTTCCCAGCCCTCTACTTTGTTCCTGGTAACCATGCCTGAAGGAAGAGTGTTAGAACCTAGAAAGAAACATCACCAGAGAGACCCCAGCCTCCGGGGATGAAGAA